CCATTTTGTTCTGAGGTGTGAGGACAAGTTAATCGATGGTGAACTCCTATATTTGTCAATATTGCTGTTAATGACATGTATTCTCCACCCCAGTCAGTTTGCAGTTCCTTTATTTCTGTCTCAAACTGAGTCTTAACAAGTGCATGAAACAATTGGGAAGCATGCATTGTTTGATTCTTGTTCTTAAATAGATATACCCAATAGTGCCTTGTACATGCATCTACAAAGGACACATAATAGCTGAAACCATTTGAAGTTATGTGGGAGGGTCCCCATAAGTCAGAGAACACTAATTGAAAAGGTTTGTAATACACTATTTTAGACTCATAAAACAGTATTTTATGGCTCTTCCCCATTCTACAGCTACACAAACATTGGTACTCTCTTTATTAATCGAGGGAGAAACATTGACCCCAATTTTTTACAAATTTGCATCAATGTTGCATGAGCAGGATGCCCAAGCCTTTGATGCCACAAGTTATACAAGTTTATGCTAGTAGCTACATTTACTATCATTGAATTTGATTTCTTATCACAATTCACATTATCAGCAGCAAAATGATACAAACCAGCAGTCTCCCATCCTTGAAACAACACCACTCTAGTCTTCTCATCTTTTACCAAGCAATGATTTGCATGAAACTCAAAAAATACCCTGTTCTCTCTAGCAAACTTAGAGACAAATAAAAGATTTTTAGTGACATCAGGCACATACAGTAGATTATTAATGTAAAGATCTCGAGATCTAGTTTGAATGAGAGATGATCCAGTCTTGTATATATCAAGATTCTGTCCATTCCCCACAGCTAACTTACCTGGTCCTGAATAGTCAGATGCATTGTTAAGTTTGGAACTATATGGAGTTACATGGTGAGTAGCTCCTAAGTCTATAACCCATTTGTCCGAGCTGGAAGATGTTAAAGACAAGGTCTGTACTGGAGCACATCCATTGTTTGTATAGGTATAACCTTCATTATCAAAACCAGTTACCTGTGAATTGAAGGACTCATGCTTATCAGCAGAATTCCAAAAATGAGTGATCAAATCGATGCCAGCATCGATCCACAGTGTGCCCCATCTTTCCACACAATTGACATTGTACCCTTGCTTTCCTTGACCTCGATTACCTATTCAACCACGCGAGTACTGCTGTGTCATTTGTTCATTTCCAGTGTTCTCTTGATCAGTTGATTGACCAAAATATCTTCTTTGATTGCTATTCTGAACGTTTGCAACATTGGCACTGAGAAGTGGTTGAGATTGAACTTGAAAACTTTTAAGTTGAGCTTCTGCATCAATTAACGTAAAATGAATTGCATCTACTGTAAAGGCATCTTTACTCGCTGTAATAACAGCAACAAAGGATATTCAAATGAGAGTCCATTCAGAATTGTGGCAATCTGATCAATGTCAGAAATGGCACTGCCACACGCAGCTAATGCATCACACACCTCTTTGATCGAAGTGAGGTATGATCATATGCTTTCATCTCCTTTCTTGATGGACCTCAACTTGCAATGCAAACTCATTATGCTGGTAGTCGATCGATTAGAGAAGAACTTAATAACTGTGGCCCATACCTCCAAGGCAGTTTCAGCACCAACAAATTGTGGTAGACAATGATCACTGATGGTGGACAAAAGCCAAGAAGCCAGGGCACTATCTTGTGCAACGAACACATCATACTCCTCATTGATGATAAGATTGCCATCTGCATCAAGTATTATTTCAGATGGGGATCTAAGATCTCCGGTGAGCAACCTTTAAGCCGATGACTTTGAACCATTAAGAGAACCTGTTGTTTCTATCGAAGGAAATTCATCTCATCAAGCATGATGTTGATGCGTTTGTTTGTGAACATCTTATTGGGTCTCAATGATTCTGAACTACCAAGAATGTTTCCAGAACCACTGAATGCCATGACTCCATCTTCTGCATGATGGATTCGAAAATCTTGCCAAGAATTACCACGCAGCAGAAATGCAGCTTATCCCAGAACCAGCTGAGTGATTGATACCATGATAGAAAACTCAATTAAAATGGAAAACTGATCATTATTATTGATGATAATGTACAAGAACACTGCATATCTTTATATACAAGCAACGATACATGTATAATAGCTATACCAGCTATAAGATAAAGGTTGTTATACTTCAACTAACTAACTAACTAAGCAAGACAATACATGATGCATGCTTGAGTATGCTTATGATGTACACCATCCAATAAACTTGATGGTTCAAACATTAACTCGATGTGGTGATAGATTCTACGTTTGATCTTTGCATAGGATATGTAAGCGTCCCCTTTGAACCTTCCCTTGTGAAAATATGTTAACCTTACTGGTTGTCCAGTAAAGATGATGTCCTTGAACTGTCCTGTTGTTTGTGTAAGTGATGACATACCTCACACAAATATCTCACTGACAAGAATTTGGTTCTCATGGTTATGTCCATATAGTCATGGACATCTCCTGGTTCTACAAAGCTTAGAGAACTATGCCCAATAGTCACTTTGAAGCGACTCAACTTCACTCTTACATAGGTAACTTATGTTGTTTGCTTCAACGAAACACATATTGGTCATTAAAAGCATTGTTTAACCTCATCCACATTTTGGTCATTGTTTTCATCATAGGAATGGGCTTGGGGATAAAAACCCCCACAGTGAGCTCAATAGGTCTATGCAAGTAGGTTTTCCCATTGAACCTAGATCTTGGGATCTCCAGTCAAATAGGTTGGGTTTTCCTTCACATAGAGCCTTAACAATTCATGGGCTTTAGTCCTTTTCCTCTTGATGTTTTATCAACTTGATCTCAATTCAACTCATTGTTTAGCGGATCCACAATGTTATCTTTTGATCTTACAAAATCAATATAGATAACTCTAGTTGTGATCAATTGTTTAACGATATTATGTCGACAACGTATGTGTCTCGACTTACCATTATACTTATACAAGGCAACCCCACACTTTGATGTAGTTGTAGGAAAGTTTTCTATATTTCCATAACTCATATGGTGTCTCACCTATTTTCTTGTAAGTTGCCTTATTTAAAGGCAATTTGCTAATAAAATAGCTTCCTCCACATGTTCTATGACAACTCAGAACATGATCAAATGTCATTCATAATTCTTTAGCAATCTTATGGATATTATACACTTCATGTGGTGTATCTAGCACTCTATTCAAGATGTAATTCTGATATAAAACTTAGAATGGATTCAAGCTTTAATGACGACAATGTCTATCTCATCCTCTCTATGAATAGGAGGATCATCCCATATTTGACCATATTCAGCATGATAAAATATAATATCTTATGTCGCTATGTCTTGAAATTATATTCATGAATTTCACATGCTTCTCGTTGTGGCTCACAACCACTGACATCGTTGAATTTATTCAAAGTCTGAATAGGAATCAACATTTCAAATCACGAGTTAGGTAAATCAGTGGGTCACCATTGTTTCGTTTAAAACACGCAACCAAAATTTGTAAATATTCCAACAATAAATTGAATGTTAATTTATTTTATTTTACCATTTGTTTCTGTTGAACAACAAAATTAATTAGAAATTAAATTTCTAAAAAAATTGTAACAATGTTGTTACCTCCAAACGATTTCTGTTATCAACAATAAATCAAATAAATTTTGTTGAACAACAGAATAAAATCCTAAAACCTAATTATAGGCCCGATTTTTGTTCACAGACATATCATAATTTTGTTCGGTACCTTATTTATCGCAACTAATTTTAGTCAAAACTAAAATCCAAGAATTGAGTAATTTATATTAAACGACGAGAATTTAATATAACTAAAACCCGAAACAGAAGTTCACAATCAACATCATTCTGTTGAAACTATTAATAGCCAGGATTTAATAAAATTAAAATCCGAAACAAAAACACAATTATGTGTATTAATTTTGATGCCTTGTTCTATAGCACTGAAGTTTCACTTTGCTCAACTTTTCATCAAAAGTTGGCTTGTGATTACTGCATTTTACGAAACAAAGGCAAAACATAACATTTTGATAGGCAATAATTATAACAAATAAATATGCCTCAATGGATTATTTCCACCTGGTGCAATCAATTTGATAAATTCTTAAATGAATTTAATATGCATATACCTTTGCAGTACTTCCATATTGGAGCCACCATTTTCGACTGGTTCATAATGGTTGGAGCCTACATTGATATGTGAAACAGTTTTGTCTACAAGGTTTGTTCATCTGTTGATACATCCACAGACGTCATTTCTCCGTTTAGTGTATCATCATCGATTCAGAGATAATCCTCTTGAAAAACAACATTGTTATGGCCATAGCCTTGCTAAAAATCCAGTATCAGACTTTCATTACCTTCAAATAACTTAGTACTCCAGAACCGATTATAATGGTCGTATACAAAATTCAAAATTGTAACCTCCATTGTTCGTATGATTAAAAATTATAACAATCGATTCAACATACCTTGCAGATATGTTTCCTCTTTACTAATGGAGGACCCCACATTGTTTTGATTTTCCAATTGTCCTTTGAAGTGGCTTACTTTTCTTGATTCCTTGTTATGGTTGTGCCAATTAATGGAGTGATCAAAGGGTTCTCGAACTTGGATTGCAGACTGACTAGGAAATCCCTTGACTAGAAAACATTTGCACAGATCCCTTCATGATTGAGTGGTCATCAGGATCATCAGAGCGGGATCACAATAGATCACACTTTTCCTCGTGGTTAATTTGCTTTTGATCAAATCCCAAAGTGAAAACTCATATCAACTGAAGCAATCTCCTTCCTTTACGTGATCAAACTCCGAGAAGGGCATCAATATCAAACATTTATTTCCTAAAGTAAATTCGTATAACACCAACAAATAAACAGATTAATAAATTTTTAAAATGCCTTAAACTCCAATAGTTATGCAACTTTCTCCAAAATTAAGATGACATTATAAAACAAGTCATGTGCACAGAAGAATTGAAGTTGAGTCCATGTTCTTACGACAAAAAGCTAAATTGCATTGGCTTAAGGAGGGTGACAAATGCACAAAGTTCTTTCACTCAATCATTGTAACTAAGAACAAGAGACAGACTATAAGGGTTCTTGTTAACAATCGAGGGGAAAGACTTGAATCTTTTGATGAAATGTCCTCGGAAATACTAGAGTATTTCAAAACTCTTTTAGGCACCAAGGATTCTAATGTTAAAGAATACCCTCCTACACTTCTCAAAGATTTGATGCAACCTATTCCTTCATTTGAAGATTCCGAAATCTTGTCAAGGAAGTTATTAGTGATGAGATCAAAGATGTTATTTTCAGTCAAGGTCAAACAAGGCCCCAGGTCCCGACGGATTTACAGCTCTCTTTTCAAGAAAGTTTGGCCATTGGTTGGAAATGACGTTATTAAGGCTATTAAGTATTTCTTTCATGAATCTTACATCTATCCAGCCTTTAATGCAACCATTTTTGCTTTAATTCCAAAAAAACTGAATCCTAGCAAAGTTTCTGACTTTCGCCCAATTTCATGTTTTTTGTTATTTAAAAGACCATCACAAAGATTATTGTCAAAAAAATTAAAAATTTGTTGCCAAGGATTATTTCCCCTAATCAATCTGCCTTTGTCAAAGACAGGAGTATAGTTGACAACACACTTCTCGCTCAGGAAATTGTTAAAGGATATGGGAGAAAGATCATTTCACCTAGGTGTGCACTTAAAATTGATCTTCAAAAGGCTTTCGACTCCATCAATTGGGACTTCATTCAAGCTATTCTTAAAGGTTTGGATTTACCTCCGTTAGTCATTGAATGGATTGTATCTTGCTATACGGATGCTAGATACTCTATCTCTCTCAATGGAAGCTTGGTTGGATATTTCAAGGGAGCCAAGGGAATTACACAAGGAGACCCTCTATCCCCTACGTTGTTTGTTATGGTAATGAATGTCCTTTCTAATATTCTCAATACTGCTGCTATAAAAGGGATTTTTGCCTTTCATCCTAAATGCAAAAAAATTGAACTTACTCACTTGTCATTTACTGATGATTTATTGATTTTTTGCAAAGGAAACTTTCATTCTGTTATGGGTGTCATTACTATATTGGACTGTTTTTATGAGTATTCAGGGTTGAAGCTTAATGTAAGCAAATGCGAGATTTTCACAGCTGGTATTTCTACTCATAATCTTGATTCTATCATCAATTATTCTGGTTTTAAACATGGTAGACTACTTGTTCGTTACCTGGGTGTTCCTCTTGTCACAAGAAAGCTAACTGACAAAGATTATAAAGCCCTTCTTGACAATATCAAGAACAGACTTCATCAATGGTCTATGAAGAAAATGAGCTATGTAGGTAGGATTGAGCTTATTAAAACCGTCCTCTACAGTGTTGCAATTTTTTGTGCAGGCAGCTTGTATTCAGTCCATCATCAAGAAGATTGAACAATTATGTTCCAGATTTTTTTGGATAGGCTCGGACAACCCTGCAACTGGTGTAAGGGTGAGTTGGGGGAACATCTGTCAGCCTAAATCCGAAGGAGGCTTAGGATTAAAGGATCTCAAGACCTGGAATAAGGCATGCTTAATTCATCTTACAAGGAAACTACTCGCAGGGGAAGGTTCTCTATCGGTTGCGTGGATCCATAATTACATAATTAAGCAGCAAGATTTCTGGACCATGGACGAATATCGAGTGCTAGCTGGTGCTTCAGGCGAATGCAGAAAATCAGAACTGTAGCTCAAGCAATTCCTATCACGGTAGCAAAGACTACAAAAGAAATCTGGGAATATATCCGTCCTAAATACACTAAAGTTTTTGGCATAATTTGATTTGGTACCCTCTCCATGTCCCGAAGCATAGCATAATTTCCTGGATGGTTATTTTGAATCGCCTCCCAACTAGGGAGAGACTGCAAAGATTTGGGCTTGTTACTAATGATCTTTGTATTTTCTGCTCGGTTGCAAAGGAAACAAGAAACCATCTATTTGCAGAGTGCTTGAAGACTTCTTATATTTAGAGATCAATCTTCCAAATTTCCGGTTTGAACATGCATTCCCCAACATGGAACAACCTGTTGGATTGGGCGATCAAAACCTGGAAAGGTAATTCTTTGATTTCTTGTATTCTTAAGTTATCATGGTGCACATTTAATTACACCATTTGGGAGGAAAGAAATCGTCGCATTTTTAGAGGAAGTTGCAGAACTGAAGAAAAAATTGACAATGCCATTAAGGATATTGTTGGATCTATTCTAAGTAATAGGGATATCAATAGAACAGATAACAGAAATTCAGCTCTTTGTACTCAATGGGGTATTGTCTAATTTTTCTTGTTAGTACCCCTTTGTTCATTTGATTGAATTGTTATGTAGCAGCTACTGCTATTTTGGGTAATAAAATTTAATTATCCAAAAAAAAGTTTGGAAATCTGCGCTTGTACATTCCATCTCCAATACGCGAATTTCACTTTAGAATCAACGTGAGTTTTTGAAGTCAACAAGAAACTCGTTTCCATTCAAAATGGCAAATTGCTTGAGAAATTTCACTTTGGCATGTTTCCTCCAAATGACATGCAATTTTCTTCTTTTTGGAACATGTAAATTGATTCGAACTCAAAAATAATCTCCGATATTTGTTATTTCGTTCGTTAAATTCAAAGAGTCTTGTTTCGGATTAAAAAATAAAAGGAATATGTCTTAAGATTGTTACAAAAAATTTTAATCCGAGATAAAATATTAATAATGTATAAATATTATTATATAATCAAATGAAACAAAATAATTATAAAGAATTAAAACCAGAATCTTTGAGTAACGTTGGGCGTCGGTCTCCCAAGATACAACAACAAACGATCACAACAGTAAGTACAACCGTAGTGATCAGTCGAACAAAATCTTGTCTTCCTCTATCACCGGAAAGAACAAATTTGGAAGTAATTTTCTAAGTGTTTTCCAATTTCAAAGTTATAAACTTGTGTGTTGTAACTTGTAACTTGTGTGTGTGTGTTGTGTTGTGTTGTGTTGTGTTGTGTTGTGTCTTGTAACTTGTGTCTAATTGTGCATAAACTAGCATATATATATATAGGGAGAGGAAATGGATTGAGAGGTTAAGACCTTTCGATGAAAGGACTTAACCTTTTGATTAAAAGACTTTTCTTTTGATGAAAGGACTTAACATTTTCATGAAATGATTTAATCTTTTCATGAAGAGAATTGTTGAATATGTATGATTGAATGGATGCAATTTTAAACCAAAAATTAAGTTAACCAAGTGACATGAGTTATAATTAATTTGTTACAAATAACATCAATTCATTTAATTTTTCCAACAGTTTTTTCGTTGAATAGAAATCGGTGGTGAGCCTCATATGGTGAAGCTAATGTTAACGTTTGTATTACCGTTAAAATGAAGAACTTAGTGAAAAGGAAAGAAAGACACATGTTAACAAATGATAGGTGGGGCATAACTAAGGGCATCATAAAGGGGCACTATAAATAGAATTGATTGAATTATTTTTGTTTTTGGTTTTGGTTTTTTTATATATTATATTATATTTTCATATTACTATTATTATTGTTATGATTATTATTTTTCTATTTTACTCATATATATATATATATATATATATATATATATATATATATATTATTTATTATTATATTATTTTTTTTTATTTATTTTACTTATTTTTATTCTTCATTTTTTCATTTATTCATTTTTTCCCTCTAACACATCTTATGACTTTTAAGGGTATTTTCGTCAATTAATCAGAGGTAAGTAATTCATGATCAAATTTTACCTTTTAATTTAAAATTACAATTTTCTTAATTAAGACAACTGGAAATTACGTAGTACCGAAAGGGCGGTTCAAGGGTGCTAATCCTTCCTTGACCACATATTTCTGGTAAGACGCAGATCAGGTAAGAAATAGGGTATCCGATCAACCCATTTATTTTTAAATAAATGATCGGTGGTGACTCCCAATCCATATTTTTCAAGTCGAAGCCCAATCCCAGGGCCCAACCGAAAGACGGTTGCGACAGCTTGGCGACTCTGCTGGGGATTCTCAAGTGAGTCAGGCTAAGGTAATTTTCAGTTGTCTTTTTAACGAAAAGGGTAAGTTTAAATTTTAAGGTAACATTTCGATGCTTATTGCTTACTTTTGATTATATTTTTTCGAGTAAATAGTTGTACTAACCGTTTTCTCAATGATTTCATCCCTTAAAGTCTTTTTTCATCTAAGGCTCTAAACCCGAGCTCCGAATCCGTTTTAAGTGGGGGTGAAAGCGACGCATTCGTGTGAATTTATTCACCTCATATGCCTAGCAAGTAGCCTTCGGGATTCATATACCTTATGTCTTCGTGTGAATTTATTCTCCGCATAGACATAAGGGAATGTGTCCTCTCGAGTTTAACTTAGTCCACATAAGCCTGTGATGGGTTTAGGACTAAGGGTCTGGCAAGCCCAAGGGGGCACCAGCAAGGAGAACTCGGGTACCATTTTTTAGCACCTAAACCGGGAGACTTTGAAGAATTAGAGCCTACCCCAAAACCTCATTTCAAACCCTAGGATGCCAGAATTATTTTATGCTTTACTTTCTATTCAAAGCATGTGAACTAGACAAACATGCGGTTAGGATTTGTTTGAAATTAGCATGCGGGATAGAGATTATGTCTGAGTAGGAATACTAAGCATGTTCGGGTAGATATCATGTGGGGTAGGATTTTTCATTTTATTATTTTGATTTACCTCACTATTTTTTTTTATTTTGTCCTCTTTTATTTTGTTTTCATCATTTGCATCATAACAAGAGGTCATTGATCCCTAAAAAGGTGTTTGTTACATAAAATAATCTAAATTAATGGATAAAGGTGTTCTAATACAAGAGATTAAAAACCCCGAGGTACGACTATGGTCCGAGAAGACTCAGAAGGAAAAGGGAGATAGTCTTCAAGGAAGCTATGTGTCAGAACTGGTTAGCTACGCCTCTATTAGCCTAAAGCAGAACGACGTGCAAGAGCTTCGGGACATCTGGGGCAGTTGAAAGAATGATTGAAAACAGAAGTTCAGTCAGCGATATGGTGACATTGCACTTTTGCTTCATGTTAAGACCGATGAGCCCTTAATCAGAGCCTTGGTTCGATTCTGGAAACCGGGATACAATTGCTTCACTTTTAACCAGGAGGACATGGTACCTACCATCGAGGAGTATACTACACTATTGCATTGTGAAATCATTAAACTGGAGCGAGCCTACATCAAACACATCAAGAGTCAGTCTTTCAAGAACAGACTGGCTAAGATTGCAGGAGTTGATAAAAAGTGGGTGACTGGCCGACTCCGAAACAAAGGTAACGGGCAGGGAATTGAGTGGATCCACATAAGGAAACTAATGAATGACCTCCCTGATGAATGGAAGACTATATACCTTTTTTGCACTAGGTATGTATAGCTTGATCATCTTTCCGAAGATTTTGGGATGCATTGACGCAACCGTGGTGGAACTGTTTGAGCAACTTCCGAAACGGGTCAACCCAGCACCAACCATCATAGCCGAGACCTTTCGGTCTCTCAACCATTGTCGAAGAGCTAGCGGAGGTAGATTCATTGGATGTGTTCAGCTCATTCAAGTCTGGATTCACAGCCACTTCTGGAAGAATAATGGGGTTGCCTACCGCCGATTTAGCACTACGTATTCACCTTTGAGAGAGTTCATCACCATGAAATGGCATGAAGGAACTTCAAAAGAGAAGTGGATGAAAGTCTTCACCCATCTATCAAGACCGAGATATTACTTGGAGAGCCCCCTGGTTGTTCCTCAGTGATATTCTTTTCCAATGTGGGGACTCTGACACTATGACCTTATCTGAACTTTGGGATACAGTTGGGTATGCTCCATTGTTAAGACTTAGACATTATGGGGCACGTCAGTTTGTCCCAGCAACATCCTGACTAGCTAAATTAGATTTTGAGTATCACGGTGATAGTTATAAGAAGAGGATCAAAGAGATTGTCGATTCATGGAAGAAAGTGTTACGGATGGATATTGTGGCTGCTAAAGACATGCTTACCCCAGACTATTTAAAGTGGCGAAGATTGCGAAAAAACGACAACACCCCGGTGCCAAACTGTGAGGACACACAGATCATGGAGGAGCATCTCAGGCATGTCCCTTCTGGACTTGAGATAGCCAAAACAGAGTTTGAAGCTGTGAACAATGAGCTGGGGAAGAGGATAAAGGAACTTGAGGCTGAGCGCTATCAGTGGAATCTATATGCCGACTCTCAGAAAGATCGAGCAGACAAACTAGAAAGAGAATAAAAAAGAGTCCGTTTAGAGCTCGAAGACTTGAGAAAGGGGTATCAAGATAAAGTCAAGGATAACTCCAAGTTGAAAGTGGCTTCTAAATACTTGAATGAGAGAGCTTGGAAGGAACAGATGAAGACTGCCCAGAGGCGCTTAGCAGGCAGTCAGCATCAAAACCAATGCTTGAGAATCCGGATGGCTGATCTGGAGAAACAGCATGAGAGAGATGGCAAAACAATAGCTGAGTTAGAAGCTATTGTAGCTGGGTTCAAGAAGCAAGCAAGCAAGCTTCAGATAGTGCCCTTCGATGGATTTTTACAGTGGCGTTTCCGTTGGGAGCAAGCACAACAAAGGGTGAAGGCCAGAGACGCAGTCATCCGAGACTTCCTGGATCAAGTACAGAAGGCAGCTCGTCATCTACACCGCCTGGC